ATCTGTAAAACTTAAAATGGTTAATTCTGAAGTAAATTCACCCATTTCCACTCCAACTCCCATCTTTCAAGTTTTGATGTTAGGCCCAAATGGATAGGGACAAGTTAAATGTTTAAAAAGAGAACTTTCATTCTACAAATTGAAAAGTTCTTTCAGGAAAATCTACTTCTTTAGAACTACCAAAGCTATTACTATTAAAACTGGTACTAGAAAAATCTAATTATAATGTCATCTATTTTCCCTCAATATAAATATTACAGAACCTCATTAGAAACTCAATCATTATCTCCACAAAATAAATATCCTTAAAATGGAAACAAGCTCTGAAAAATATACTCATTTGTTTGAGCAAAAGGAAAGCACTGCCTGAACATTTTTTTTTCTTCACATTTCTACAGTAACTCTCTTTCATTCCTGATCTGGCAGAACCAAAAACAAACAAACAACTGCATGCTGCTCATTATATATACTATTATATATATATATATATATATATATATATACACTGTACATACTATATATGGGCATGAGAATATATGTAAATAAATATGTGTATATATGTCCTCCCAGTCTTATATAAAACTTTTTGAGATCATCGAAGAGACAGACATTGAAGGAAGGTTTAGTCATTTTTAGATTTCCTGACAAGCAAATTCCACAACAAACAACTGCAAGATCCTTGGAATGGTTACATACTCTGAGTGAAAGAGGTCATCGGGAAAAGCATCTCCTACAACAGTCTCTATCCATTATATATGATTTACACAGAACTGTAGTTCTAATCACATAAAAATAAATTGATATTTAGCCAGGCACTGGTGGCTCTTGCATATAATCCTAGCTACTCAGGAGGTTGAGATCTGAGGACTGAGGGATAGTGCCAAGGCCCAGAATTAAAGCCCCAAGACCAACCTACAAAAATAAATAAAGCCGGGTGCCAGTGGCTCAAGCCTGTAATCCTAACTACTCAGGAGGCTGAGATCTGAGGATTGCAGTTCAAAGCCAGTCTGTGCCTGAAAGTCCGTGAGACTTTTATCTGTAATAAACCACCAGAAAACTGGAAGTGGCACTGTGGCTCAAGTTGTAGAGCGCTTGCCTTGAGCTGAAGAGCTGAGGGACAGGGCCCAGGCCCAGAGTTCAAGCCCCACAACCACCAAAAAAAAAAAAAAAGATTCAAAAGATTCTGAAAAATACTGAGCCAAGAAAACAAAGCAAAAGGGGCTGGGAAGGTAGAGTGCATGCCTTGCAAGCATGAGGCCCTGGGTTTGATTCCTCAGCACCACATAAACAGAAAAAGCCGGAAGTGGCGCTGTGGCTCCAGTGGTAGAGAGCTAGCCTTGAGCTGAAGAGCTGCGGGACAGCGCCCAGGCCCAGAGTTCAGGCGCCATGACCAGAAAAAAAAAAAAGAAAACAAAGCAAAAAGCATACATACATATTTAAGACTGCACCCCCTTAGATGGCATTTATAAAGTTGAATGGCCTTACCAAAATATACAACTTTAACTGTTTAAGTGATATGAGGAAAAAACACATGCTATGAAAATTCACTCAAATTTGCCTAAAACTTACAAACCTCTCTGAAAAGTTACACTGAACTGAAAACTTTATATGAATATTTTATATACACGCACGTGCATGTGAGCTCACACATAAACACCAAACTATTAAAGCAAATTAAACTATTAAAGCATTTTTTTTAAGTTTTAGCAAGGATTTATTTTAGTGTAACAGGGTTAAAGTAGGAGAAATGGATTACATTTCTGCTCCCTAACAGCAAATAGAGGAGCTTAAAGACTGTCCTTTATGTTCTGTTTTTTTTTTTGTTTTTGTTTTGCCAGTCCTGGGGCTTGAACTCAGGGCCTGGGCACTGAGCTTCTTTTGCTCAAGGCTAGCACTCTACCACTTGAGCCACAGAACCATTTCTTGCTTTTTCCGTGTATGTGGTACTAAGGAATCGAACCCAGGGCTTCATGCATGCTAGCTGAGCACTCTTCCACTAAGCCACATTCCCTGCCCCCTTTATGTTCTTATGAAAAACAGTAAATTTAATTTTTTAAATTACTAATTATAAGTTAAATTTAAATACACACACACACACACACACACACACACACACACACACACACACACACACACACACACACACACACACACACACACACACACACACACAGAGTTAGCTGAAGGTTGAGCACAGTAATCCCTGGTACTTGGGAGACCGAGACACAAAGATCAAGGTTGCAAACCAGCCCAGGAAAAAATTATGGAAGGGTTGAGAAGTTGGCTCAGTGATAGAGTGCTTGCTTCACATACATGAGCCCTAGGTTCGATTCCTCAGCACCACATAAACAGAAAAGGCTGGAAGTGGCACTGTGGCTCAAGTGGTAGAGCACTAGCCTTGAACTAGAGAGCTAAGGGACAGCACCCAGGCCCAGAGTTCAAGCACCACAATCGACAAAAAAAAAAAAAAAAAATGGAAACCCTATCTCAAAAACAAACCAAGTCTGTGGCTCATGCCTGTGATCCCAACTACTTGAGAGTCAAAGGCTGGAGTATCACCATCTAGGGCAGGACAACAGTAAACTAAGAATAAACACAGGGGCTGGGAAAGTGGCTCAGTGGTAAAGTGCTTGCCTTGCATGCATGAGGCCCTGGGTTTGATTCCTCAGCACCACATAAGCAGAAAAAGCTGGAAGTGGCCCTGTGGCTCAAAGTGGTAGAGTGCTAGCCTTGAGCTGAAGAGCTGAGGCATGGTGCCCAGGCTCAGAGTTCAGGCCCCACGACTGGAAGAAAAAAAAAAAAAGAATAAACAGACTAGGGGTGTGGCTCAAGCAGTAGGCACCAGGACATGATTTCAATGGCCACAAGTTCCCCAGTACTTAGGATAAAAAAAATTGAAAACCTGACATACATTTGGTTACATATAACTATTATTTTAAATGAAGCAAATACATAGATTTCATCTTTCTTGTTCTTATGCCTATATTCTAATGATGAATAACTTAAAGGCAGAAATTTATTCCATTTTCACTTGTTTTACAGATTATATATGACATAAGTTTTGCTACTTTAGCCTAAATCTGATTAAGGTGAGTCATATTACTGGTAATCTTAAAATTACCAATATTTTCTATTTTATACACCAATTTTAATTCTATTTAGAGACATGTGACTGTTAAGAATTACATACATTACTTTTAAAATGTTTTTCCTACCAATCCATACTATATACACCAAAATGGTGTATCTGAGACAAACCTATTAAAATGTCTTGGTCACTTAGTTTTTAAAAATATATCCTACTTTACTGAGTTTTAATAATTCAGTTATTGATAAGTGAATTTCATGCTGCTTATAATCAGTTTCTAGGTGCCAGAGTTGTAGGTCAAGAACTGAACAGGTGTGTAACATGTCAGAGGCCCTGGATATGGGCCCAGAACCACAAAAGAAATTCAAATAAAATTTGTAAAAGACATTCAAAGCCACATTGTATATACAAAAGCTTTGAATTATTATCATCCTGTTTCCTTCCTGTCTCAAACTTCATTCCACTAAATTGGACTACCCTTACTCTGCATTCACCTTCCAATTCCAAGGTGCTTCTGTTTAAAATGGGCTGTTTATTCAAATACATTATCCCACTTCCGACACTGGCAGGAATTTAACTCTTTCTAGTCATGAAACTGAACTGGAGTATGATTTGCCCAAGGTCAATAACTAGCTCAGTGGCCCAATCTGGGCTGAATCCTAGATTCATCTACTTCAAAGCCAATACTTCCACTTGACTACAATTATCTCCTTAAAAGATTAAGAGGCAGCTCAACAGCAGAGAATCTTGTCTCTCCAAATGTCCAAGTATCTATTCTAAGACATGTCGCACAACAGTAGCTTCAATTCAGTCACTGACTGGAACATAAATGAAGGAACTTTCTGCTCAATTTGAACGAGGTCAGGTGTACTGACAGGTTAAGAAAGAGTTCAGAAAGGGCTTGTTTCAACATGTCCCCTGTAGACCTCTTTTTTTTCCCCCCAGTTTTGTTTTGTCTTTTTTTTGGGGGGGGGGGAGGGGAGGGGTAAGTACGTACATCCTTTTACAAGACTACATTTCATTATGTCCAGGTGCTTTTTCAGTACGGCACTTTTCTAAGAAATCTCCCGTCATCAGATCGTGATGGGGTTGGGAGACCTGGCTGAATATGAATATCCCGATACTTTCCAACCATCTGAAGTATCCTTTTTAGTAGGTCTAGGGAAGAAAGAAACCCAGTTCCCCTGCTCACTTTTTACGCTGTGATGTCTGCCCACGGCGGGGGGGGGGGGGGGGGGGGGGCGGGGGAGGGAGGGAGACTGCTCGTTAAAAGACCGCGGGGCTAGGGAGCAGGAAAGGAGGGAGGAGGGGGGGGGGGGAAGCGCACGGAAGTTGGGTGGAGGGAGGTCTCATTTACCCACTCTCCTAACCTAAGCTCTGCCAAGGGCGGCTCCGCGGGTGCCCAGCCGACATCCCTCGAAGGCCAGGTTCTGTCCCAGCTTGGGTGGGTAGGGAAAGCTTTGATCAATGGGAAGCCTGCAATTGCTCCGGCCACCTACCTCCCCCCCCCCCACCACACCCCCCCCCCCACTCCGAGTTCGTGCCCTCCTTCTGGCCCTGAACGATGGCCCCCTGTTTTCAGAAAAGCCCACCCCACCACCCCCCCCCCCACCTCCGCCCTCGCTCTCTCTCCCCAGGTAGAAAACTCCCGGTCCGCACTTGGCCCAAGTCTTCTGCCTCTGTCCCCTCAGCCTCGTCTCTAACCGGCCACCCGAAACTCTCCGACCCCCCAGCAGCCCCCGGCCTCGCCATTCCCCCCCACCCCCGCCGCCGCAGGCACACGCGCCGGCCTGCGCCCCACCCGGGGTCCCGGCGTCCCCCCCACACCCCTAACCAGAGCCTTCACACGCACAACACATCTCTCTCTCACACTCCGACCTCACGCACCCTTGTCGAAGACAGAGCAAAGTACCTGGACCGGCCGTGCTCCCGGGGCTCCAGCGGGGCGGGCGCGGTGGGCTCCCGGGGTGCCCCGAGCTTCTCTGCCCACCCGTAGTGGTGTCTTCTGGTTCCTCAGAGCTGGAGGGAGGAGAGGAGGAGGCGGAGGGGAAGGGAGGGAGGGGGAAGGCGAGGAGCCTAGGGGGGGGCGGCCGGAGCCCAGCCGGAACTACTAGCGTTGGCCCCGCCCACTGCTCAGAGCCCGCAGAGCACTCAGGCGCTCCTGATAGGACAAACCGAAAGCAGGACGTCCCCGCCTCCCCCCCCCCCCGCCGGAGAAATTGACGTGATCACTTCCGGGTTATCCTCGCCGGAGCCCCTCCTTAGCAACAGCGTGGGGTTGCTAAGCGGAAGTGCCTTCCCACTCCTGGGTTTCTACTGGGACTATCCCAAGGCAGGTGGGGAGTTGTCCGCGCTCTCCTTCCGCAGCACTTTCTTCTTTACCTTCTGTTCGCGATCTGAGCGCTTCGCTGATGGGGACGTGGAGGTATTCTTCACCTTCCCCCCCTCAACCAATCAATTACGCACACCTGCTCCCTCCCACGGCGTCTTAGGCCGCCCCAGTGGCTCCCCCTGAGGCGCTCCTGGTTCTTCGCGATACTTTCTGACGTTTTAGGAAGCATCTCCCTCTGGTGGATTTTCCATTGTGTTTCAACAAGATTGTGTGTGTGTGTGTGTGTGTGTGTGGTCCTAGGGCTTGAATTCAGGGCCTTGGCATTGTCCTTGAGATTTGTTTTTCTTTCTCTCAAGACTGGAGCTCTACCACTTTAGCCACAGCTCCACTTCTGGCTTTTTTGGTGGTTAATTGGAATAAATCGCATGGGCTTTTCCTCCCAGGCTGGCTTCGAACCATAATCTTCATTTTCTCAGCCTTCTGGGTAGCTATAATTACACACACGAGCCACCAGTGACCGGCTTCAAACAGAACTTAAAAGAAGAAAACAAAATTTCTTCACTATTTCATGCAATTCATCTGTGACAGACGAATGGTGAGAAAAGTTTGGTCTTCACATCTTTTGTGAAAATTGTGCGTATTGTGGATGGCCTGGAAATAACCGAGCTAAATGGAAGATTTAAAAGATTAGATCTAAATTGCCTACAATTATGTTAATCCTTAAAGCAGAAAAAAGGCCAAAGGAAGCCTGTAACCAAGACTTCGAAGGCGGAAAATATCTAACCTATAAATCAATGTACACCTTGGACAAGTGTCAGTAAGAAACCTCATTCTACAGGGCACCAGTGGCTAACTTCCTAGAATTCTAAACCTAACTACTCAAGCTGCTGAGTTGAGAGAATCTCGATTCGAAGCCAGCCCGGGCAGAAAAGTCCTGGTGAGGCTTTTTTTTTTGTCGATTGTTGGGCTTGAACTAAGGGCCTGGGTGCTGTCCCTGAGCTTCTTTGTGCTTCTAGCACTCTACCACTTAAGCCACAGTCCACTTTGTTTTTGAGTGGTTAATTGGAGGAGTCTCACAAGGACTTTTCTGCCTGCACTGGCTTCGAACTGATATTCTCAGATCTCAGTCTTTTGAATAGCTAGGATTACAAGCATGAACCACCTGCGCTGGACTCCAATGAAACTATTATCTCCAATTACCCACTCAAAAACCAGAAGTAGAGCTGTGGCTCAAAGTATAGAGGGGGCTAGGAAGGTGGCTCAGTGGTAGAGTGCTTACCTTGCATACATAAGGCCCTGGGTTCAATTCCTCAGCACCACATAAGCAGAAAAAGTCAGAAGTGGCACTGTGGCTCAAGTGGTAGAATGCTAGCCTTGAACTCAAGAGCTAAGGGACAGCGCCCAGGCCAAGTTCAGGCCCTATGACCAGGTGGAAAAAAAAAAAAACTGGCTGAAAGTGACATGTGATAAACTGGTTACTATGAAATCCTATATTTCAACTGCTAACAGGTCAACATATCAAAACCTTTACATTAGAGAAGCAAAATATGAGCTGATGAGTAACAGTTTGTCTGGAATTCTGGTAGCTATGTTCAGACATATTAAGTAAATTTGTTCTGTATAAAGTCTTTTTTTTTTTTTGGTCATGGGGCTTGGACTCTGGACCTGGGTGCTGTCCCTGAGCTCATGAGGCTCAGGGCTAGCACTCTACCACTTGAGCCACAGTACTACTTCGGGTTTTCTGATGGTTAATTGGAGATAAGAGTCACAGATAGCTGTGCGCTGGTGGCTTACACCTGTAATCCTAGCTACTCAGGAGGCTGAGATCTGAGAATAGCAGTTCAAAGCCAGCTGGAGCAGAAAAGTCCATGAGACACTTATCTCCAATAAACCACTCAGAAAACCAGAAGTGGCGCTGTGGCTCAAATGGTAGAGTGCTAGCCTTGAGCTGAAGAGCTGAGGGGCAGTGCCCAGGCCCAGAGTTAAAGCCCCACAACTGACCAAAAAATAAAAAAGAATCACAGGCTTTCCTGTTTAGGCCTACTTTGAATCACAATCCTCAAATCTCAACTTTCTGAGTAGCTAGGATTACAGACATGAGCCACCAGCACAATTTTTTTTTTTGGGGGGGGAGGGTCCATCATGGGGCTTGAACTCTGGGTCTGGGTGCTGTCCCTAAGCTCTTAAGCTCAAGCTCTTCAGCTCAAGGCTAGTGCTCTACCACTTGAGCCACAGCACCACTTCCGGCTTTTTCTGCTTATGTGGTGCTGAGGAATCGAACCCAGGGCCTTATGCATGCAAGGCAAGCACTCTACCACTGAGCCACCTCACAGCTCATAAATCTTTTAATAGTACTTGGGTTTGAATTTAGGGCTTTCTATTTGTACCACTTGAGTCACACCCCCCGTGTAAGAAGTTTAAACCATATGTATATGCAAATTCCTATCCATTAATCATTTTATCCATTGCCAGAATAAAAATTACTCATAGGCAGGATTTGTTTTTATTCTCTCTTCCTATAGTTGGCTTTTAAATTTTTCAGTCACTTTTGCATAGGTATATAACTAACTGGCCTGACTCCCAGGTGATCTCATGACTTCTGTAATTCTTGCATTTCCAATATTCTCACTACTTAGAGACTACTAAACACGGAAAGTAAGATGCCCATTTAAAACTAAGCATGAGTTCAACTATACTTTTAGGATTCTATGAGAAATATCAGAGAAATCTATACTTGTGTATGTATGTATGTGTAGACACACATGCACTGTGCTGGTACTGGGGCTTGAGTCCGGGGCCTCACCTTCTTGGCTCAAGGCTGGCACTCTACCACTTGAGCCACAAGTAGTAGTGAGAATTACAGGTGTGAGCCACTAGCACCTGGGTGAGAAATCAATTCTTTTGTCAGTCATAGGGCTTGACCTCTGGGCCTGGGCACTGTGGAGAGCTTTTGTGCTCAAGGCTAGTACTCTACCACTTTGAGCCACAGCTCCACTTCCAATTTTCTGCTGGTTAATTGGAGATAAGAGTCTCAAAGCCTTTCCTGCCTGGGCTGAGTTTGAACCCTGATCCTCAGATCTCAGCCTCCTGAATAGTGATGATTATCAGCTTGAGCCACCTGTGCCAGGGCCACAAATCAATTTTGTTAATATGAATGTTAAAACACTACTGCCACATACCTTTTGCAAGCCAGTACATCACAGAATTGGCAGGTTTAACATTTATTTTGGGGAAACCTAATACTTTTTTCTTGTGCACAGTACTGATGCTTGAACTCAGGACCCTGAGCTTTTTTGCCCAAGGCTACCACTTTAGCCACACATCCACTTCTAGCTCTTTGGATGGTTAACTGGAAATGAGTCTCACAGACTTTCCTACCCATGCTAGCTTTGAATCACTTTACATCTCAGCCTTCTGAGAAACTAGGATTATAGTCATGGACCACCAGCCCGCTGACCCAATATTCTTTTTTATTTTTGTGCCTGTCCTAAGAACTCAGAGCCTGGGTATTGTCCCTGAGATTTTTGTTCCATCACTTCAGCCTCAAGTGGCTCAAAAAGCCACTTCTGGCTTTTTGGTGGTTAAATGGATATGAGTCTCACAAACTTTCCTGCCTAGTAATCTGTGGTTCTCAGATCTCAGTTTCTAAGTAGCTAGGATTATAGGTGTGAACTACCAGCATGCAGCTTCCTAATATTTAATCTTTTTTTTGGGGGGGGGATCCAGTTGTGGGGCCTGAACTCTGGGCCTGGGTGCTGTCCCTCAGCTCTTCAGCTCAAGGCTAGCGCTCTACCACTGGAGCCACAGCGCCACTTCCGGCTTTTTTCTTTTTGCTTATGTGGTGCTGAGGAATCGAACCCAGGGCCTCAGCTCAGGCATGCAAGGCAAGCACTCTACCACCGAGCCACCTTCCCAGCCCCATATTTAATCATTTTTAAATATCCCTGTTCATGGGCTGGGAAGGTGGCTCGGTGGTAGAGCGCTTGCCTTGCATGCCTGAGGCCCTGGGTTGCATGCCTGAGGCCCTGGGTTCGATTCCTCAGCACCACATAAGCAGAAAAAAAAAGCTAGAAGTGGCGCTGTGGCTCGAGTGGTAGAGCACTAGCCTTGAGCTGAGGAGCTGAGACAGCTCCCAGGCCCAGAGTTGAGGCCCACGACCAGACCACCCCCCCAAAAAAAAAAAAAAAAAATCCTTGTTCAAAGTTCCATTGGTATCTCCAAATGCAAAAGATACAAAGACTGAAGGGAAAGCTAATAAATAATTAGGGCCCATTTGAAGAAAGTCAAATTTAGTTTTGTGTGTTTAAGCAATATATAATTCAATCCCCCAGTGGAACTAGCCTAGGTATGTAAGTGACATAAATAGAATGTAGAATATAAAGCCTTAGTATGGTAAGGCTACAGATATATCCTAGCTACTCAGAAGGCTGAGATCTGAGGATAAGTGGTTCAAAACCAGCCAGGGAAGAAAAGTCCCCACTAGACTCTTACCTCCAATTAACCCCTGGGGAAAAAAAAAACAACAAAAAACTGAAGTGGAGCTGTGGCTCAAAGTGACAGGGCACTAGTCTTCAGCAAAAGAGCTCAGGGACAGTGCCCAGGCCCTGAGTTCAAGCCCCACAACTGAAAAAAAAAAGAAAAGCTAAAAGGAACAAATGTAACAATTCTGGGTTGGACTACTCCCCAACTCTACCTTCAATTTTTTGAAAGTGGATTAATATGAAGAGTTCTAAATGCAATAGAATTTATAAACTATATATGAGAAACGTTGTGTTTAGGCTTCCTTTTTTGGGTTTATTTTGATGCTTTTTTAAAAAATGATATGTCCAGTGTGGTGGCCAGACAACTGCAATCTCAGTACTTGAGAAAATGAGTCAGGAAGATCTAGACTTGGCAGAGAGGTTACATAACAATGCACTATCTAAAACAGAGAAGGAGAAAGGGAGGTCAGTAAGAGAAAGAAGACCTTATTATCAAACATATACTTAGGGGGAAAAATCATGCTTAGTATTCACCTGCAAAAGACAATTTAATCCAAAGTAATCAGGTCTCAGAACTGTTTTTGAAATTAATAAAAATCAGACTGATGCACTTATTTATATTTGGAATATATATATATTAATATCAGGTAGTACACAAGTGGACACTATTGTGAAGGAAGTAGTCATTTATTTCAAACAAATTTCACAAAAACTTGCCTGGTAAAACATGGATAGTTTTGAAAACTGACAGTCTATCAGTAAACAAAAAGTATGATGAGGAAGCAAGAATGGATTAACAAACATTATACCCATCTCTCTTCAGTTATATCATTGATTTTTTTTTTTTTTTGTCGGTTGTGGGGTTGAACTCTGGGCCTAGGTGCTGTCCCTAAGCTCTTCAGTTCAAGGCTAGTATTCTACCACTTGGGCCACATTGACACTTCTGGTTTTCTGGTGGTTAATTGGAGATAAGAGTCTCATGGACATTCCTGCCCAGGCTGGCTTTGAACCATGATCCTCAGATCTCAGCCTTCTGAATAACTAGGATTACAGGCATGAGTCACTGGTGCCCCGCTATCACTGATTATTTTAAGAAATGGAATAGACTCATTATCTTGCCCATGTAATTGTAACCCCTCTGTACAGTATTTTCACAAAAAAAAAAAAGTTGTGGAAAAAAAATGATATATTCTTACATATGTATGTTTATTACATATTATGATTTTTTTAAAAAGAAATGGAATAGGAACACCAGGATTTTAGGTGTAGCTCTGGGCTTACGTTTTGATTTGCCTATCAAGTTTTATTAATATACGATTTGAAAATTATAAGCCCAAAGGGTAATTCTTTGATATTAAAAGCATACCTAAAGAAAATGCTAGTCTTGGGGCTGGGAATGTGGCTTAGTAATAGAGTACTTGCCTAGCCTGCATGAGGCCCTGGATTTGATTCCTCAGTACCACATAAAAAAAAAGTAATAAATCTTTTCTTTTAATTAAAAAAAAAATTCTACTCTTAATGAAGTCTACATATGTAATCTGTTTTGCAGATTCTATGCTAGTTTTTTGTCTCTTTGCTGATGTTTTAGAAGCTTCCATTATCACTCATTTAAACTTAAGACCAAAATGTCTTGAACATTTTTTTGGGGGGGGGGGTCCGTTTGTGGGGCCTGAACCCTGGGCTTGGGCGCTGTCCCTCAGCTCTTAAGCTCAAGGCTAGTGCTCTACCACTTGAGCCACAATGCCACTTCCGGCTTTTTTCTTTTTACGTATGTGGTGCTGAGGAATTGAACCCAGGGCCTCAGGCGTGGAAGGCAAGCACTCTACCACTGAGCCACCTTCCCAGACCTGTCTTGAACAATTTTTAAAAAGATACCCATCATTTTTTTCAACATTATGCCTTTGGCCTCCCTTTCCGAAAAATGATAGATGTTATTTAAATTTAAGTAACACTGAATTCTTTGATGTGCAAAAGTCTGTGTTTTCTCTTAAAGCAAACAAAAGGAATAGAAATATGGCCCCATTCCAATAATCAAATGTTCATAAAAATGGCATCAGTACAAATCTAAACAAACCTCAAAGTAGCAGATTAGTAATTAGATGATGAAATCTGATTTTTTATGAGAACAGAAGCTTAATACTAGGTCAAAGAAACAACATATTGCATTAAATTGAATAATGAGCTAAACAAGTAGCCATAATTTTACAAATTCTTCAATTCACAATTACTTTTTAACAATTAAGTCTTTGCCTCATTTTCTAAATTAAATGCCTATTTAACAAAGCCAGTTGGACAAACATCTTCATACACTTCTAGGATACCAGAGTAAACACAAGACATTATTCAAAGATGAATAATAAAGTTCTATTCTTTTTCATCATCTGAGTGATCAGGTTGCAAAGGACATGTTCTGTAAAAAGAATAGAGAACTTTAATAGTTACCTAAGTATCAACTGTTTAATAAAATAGTTAAAAACATACATCAGGAACATTAAAGTATTGTAGATCTACTCAAATGACTAGAAAAGGAAAGCCCATTACTTTGCAAAAAATTCTACAAATTTCAAGTATTAATGCAAAAGCAAAACTTAATTTGTTTGACTTTTGTTTTGGAGGAATGATGGTTTCTATTTGATTACAATGACTTTCCTTTTTTTTTTTTTTTTGGCCAGTCCTGGGGCTTGAACTCAGGGCCTGGGCACTGTCCCTGAACCTGTCTGTGCTCAAGGGTAGTACTCTACCCCTTGAGCCACAGCACCACCTCTGGCCTTTTCTGTTTATATTGGTTCTGAGGAATCAGACCCAGAGCTTCATGCATTCTATGCAAGTACTCTACCACTAAGCCACATCTATAGCCTGACATTTTTATTTAAAAAGGAAATAAAAACTATCACAGAACTATTCAGAGTTGGTATCTAATGATAATAGATTACTAACAGGTCTTCACTGTACTTTGGCTGATTCTTTCTTGGTGGTGGTGGTGGCGGTTATGGGGCTTGAACTCAGGGCTTGGGTCTTGTCTCTGACCTCTTTTGCTCAAAGGTAGAGCTATCACTTAAGAGCCACAGCTCCACTTTTCAATGTACTTTTCTAGAAATTAATGCTAACAAGTGAATACTATCATGATCCAGACTTCTTTTGGCAAGGACCAATTACTTTGGACATTATAGTTCTAGTCACAATTTAAGCCAAAGGACTGAGGATGTGGCTTTAGTGGTAGAGTGCTTGTCTAGCATACATGAAGCCCTGGGTACAATTCCTCATGACCACATAAACAGAAAAAGCTGGAAGTAGTGCTGTGGCTCAAGTAGTAGAATGCTAGCCTTGAGCAAAAGAAGCTCAGGGACAGTGCCCAGGCTCTGAGGTCAAGCACCAGGACTGCCAAAAAAAAAAAAAAAATTAAGCAGATAGTCATTCTTGATTCTTACTCTTCCCCATGCAATTGAGAGAAGCTTACCCTGATTTGGGGAGAAAAATCAGGCCCTTGAAATAACTATTTCAGAATATAAATTCAGAAGTTCATACTCCACCAGGTGCTGGTGGCTCACACCTATAATCCTAGCTGCTCAGGAGGCTGAGATTTGAGGATTGCAGTTTGTTTTTGGGTCCAGTTGTGGGCCTGAACTCTGGGCCTGGGAACTGTCCCTCAGCTCTTCAGCTCAAGGCTAGTGCTCTACCACTTGAGCCACAGCACCACTTCCGGCTTTTTTTTTTCTGCTTATATGGTACTGAGAAATCGAACCCAGGGCCTCATGCATGCAAGGCAATCGCTCTACCACTGAGCCACCTTCCCAGCCCAAGGATTGCAGTTTGAAGCCAGCCTAAGCAGGAAAATCTGTGAGACTCTTACCTCCAATAATCTACTCAGAAAACACCAGAAGTGATGGTGTGGTGCTGTGCCTCAAATGGTAAAGCACTAGCCTGAAGTATAAAGCTCAGAGACAGTCCTTAAACTTTGAGTTAAAGCCCCAGGACCGGCAAAAAAAAAAAAAGTTCATATTCCTTTTAATAAACCTATTTGCTATTTCAATAAAGTAATTACAACTCTGCTATATGAAAGCAAATCTAAGAAACCTAAAACAATGTAAATATTATATCACAGACAATATACTATGAATTGAGGTTGCTTATGAGAATATCTGTATACTCTGTATAATCTCCATGTACGCAAAGTTCATGAACTTTATTCCTGTTTTATTCCTGTGATGATTAATATTAGACCCACAGTTGACTGTAATGCCAATGATTCTATTTCATTCATGCAAGTAATAAACAATTTGAAGATTAAAGTGTGTTCTGGAATTCCTAAGATATGGAAACAAAACTTTAATTTGTTTTTCCTTTTTCTGATGATTCTGCATTGTTTACCTTATATCCAGTGTATTCACGAGTATATCTGCAGGAGTGCGAGAGGGAAGGGCACATAACTCAAGAAAAAGGGTAAAAAAGTGCAACAGTGGAGTGCACTGGACACTGATGAAAGTGAATTATACAACTTGTGAGTGAAGCTGGGAGGAAGGGAATGGGAGAGGATGAGGGAAGAGATGACATTGTACAAAAGGAAATGTACTTTTTACCTGACTCATGTAAATGTAACCCTTTTGTGCATCATTTCTATAATAACAATAAAGTAAATTTTTTTTAAAATGTGTTCTGGAATGTAGCTTTGTGGTAGAGTGCTTGCCTACCATGCATGAAGTCCTGGGTTCGATTCCTAGCACCACATAAACAGAAAAAGTCAGAAGTGGTGCTGGGGCTCAAGTGGTAGAGTGCTAGCCTGAGCAAAAAAAGCTCAGGGACAGTGCTCAAATCCTGAGTTCAAGTCCCATATACAGTACATAGCTTGGGGTCTGTTGGATCTGGTTGTTCCTATACTGTAGGTTTGTGAAAATGGCAAATACTAGCTTAAAACTTACTAAAACTAATGTCTATGCCCAAATTGGGTACTGAAATAACAAAACATCAATGTGTGGTCATGTGGACCAAAGATTACTTTCTAACTCTGTATCTCTTTTTCAGGATCCCAGCAAAGATCTTCCTGCCTCAGTCTTCAAGTGCTAGAATTACAGGAGTTTACCACCATATCTGCCACATCTACCTCCTAATTACAAGGCTTGTCAAATAAGACTTCAAAACAGATCTTTTTTTTAATTATAAAAATTATTCAAGCCAGGCACCAGTGGCTCAGGGTTGTAATACTAGCTACTCAGGAGGCTGAGATTTGAAGATAACAGTTCATAGCCAGCTCAGATAGGAAAGTCCAGGAGACTCTTATCTCTAATAAACAACAAAGAAAACCGGAAGTAGCACAGTGGCTCAAGTGGTAGAGCACTAGCCTTGAGCTGAAGAGCTGAGGGACAGCACCCAGGCCCAGAGTTCAAGCCCCCTGACAGACAAAAAATAAAAATAAAAATTATATATATATATATATATATTCAAGATATATGGAAATGTCACAAACCTCCCTTGTACAACTGTTTGCTAATAAAGAAATCCTTAAAAAAATTGTTCAGTGGAGGCTGGGACTGTGGCTTAGTGATAGAATGCTTGCCTAGCATGCATAAAGCCCTGGGTTTAATTCCTCAGTACCACATAAACAGAAAAAGCCAGAAGTAGCACTGTGGCTCATGTGGTGGTATGCTAGCTTTGAGCACAGAGAGGCTCACGGACAGAACCCAGGCCCTGACAAAACCCAGGACCAGCAAAAATAAATAAATAAATAAATAGTTCAATGTATGCAGAAATATAAAGTAGGATTTTAGGATGGGTTGAATTCAGTGTACTTGAGGTTTTGAAATCTAGTTCAATAAGGTATCTATAAGAATCTGACACCACCATTTTTGCAGGGAGGCAGAAATCTGATACTTTATTTGATGGTAACATGCTGAAAATACCATTTTGTTTTAAGTATATATATTTAAGAATTATTCATTCCTGACTAGCTGTGGTGGCATGTCTTTAATGCAGAAACAAAAGGATTCTGAGTTTGAGGCCAGCCAGGGCTACACAGAAAGACCTGGCCTAAGAAACAACAACAACAAAAACAAAAACAAAAAACAGGCACTAGTAGCTTAGGCCTGTAATGCTAACTACTCAGGTAGCTGAGATCTGAGGATCTCTGATCAAAGCCAGCCCAGGCAGGAAAATCTGTGACATTCTTTTTTTTTTTTCTTTTTTGGTCTGGTCCTAGGCCTGAACTCTGGGTCTGGGTGCTGTCCCTCAGCTCTTCAGCTCAAGGCTAGTGCTCTACTACTTGAGCCACAGCACCACTTTCCTGCTTATGTGGTGCTGAGGAATCGAACCCAGGGCCTCATGCATGCAAGGCAAGCGCTCTACCACTGAGCCACCTTCCCAGCCCATGTGACATTCTTATCTCCAATAAACTACTCAGAAAAGCTGGAAGTGGCTCTGTGGCTGAAGTGGTAGAGTGCTAGCCTTGAGTAAAAAAGCTCAGGGACATTGTGCAGGCCCCAAGGTCAAGCCCCAGGACTTGGGAAAAAAACAACATAGATTCTAAAACGTATCAGTTACTATATAAAAAACGAAATGCCCAGCCTGGGCAGGAAAGTCCATGAGACTCTTACATCCAATTAGCCAGTAGAAAACTGGAAGTGGTACTGTGGCTCAGAGTGGTAGGGCTAGCCTTGAATGAAAGAGCTCAAAGACAAGTCCAGGTTCTGAGTTCAAGCCCCACGACTGACCAAAAAAACAAAAAAGCAACACCAATGGGCTTGGAATATAACTCACTGGTAGAGCACTTGCCTAGTGTACAGGAAGCCCTCGGAGTTAAATCCCTAGAACCAAATAAACAAAACAAACCCTCAAGACATTAGAAATTTTACAACAGTCCAGAGGGTTTACATTGGAAAGAACCACTGCTGCTTTCCCATGCATATGTAAATTAAATCTTTTTTATATTGCCTAATTATTTTACAGCCTTCTAGATTCACAGTAAACTAAAATGAAAACTGAAGGGGATGGTAGGGGGAAAACAATGGAGGGGGTAACAATGTTCAAGAGGAAGTGTACTCATTACCTCACTCATGTAACTGTAACCCTCTGTATAGTAGCTTTACAATAAAATTAAAAAAAAAAAAAATGAAAACTGAATCTCCATAGTACATCCTTTTTCTCTAGATCTAGGTGAAATGATTTTCAAGGAAGAGTTCTGTTTTTGGTTTTGGTTTTTGGTTGTTGTTTTTTTTTGGCCGGTCATGGGGCCTGAACTCTGGGCCTGGGCACTGTCCCTCAGTTCTTCAGCTCAAGGCTAGTGCTCTACCACTCGAGCCACTTCTAGCTTTTTCTGCTTCTGTGGTGCTGAGGAATCGACAGGGCTTCCTGCATGCAAGGAAAGCACTCTACCACTGAGGCACCTTCCCAGCCCAAGGAAGAGTTTTAAGAGTCCATATT